AAGAATAGAAATAAGTTCAAATTGATTGAGCGAATTCATGAGAGATGACAGAATTGAGAATTATTCTTGAAAATTTGGAATGAAATGAGCGGAAGTACCACCGGTGCATGGCTAAAGAAGGTAGGAGGAAGTGTGACCCCATTCTTCAATCATATTCCATCTACATGCAATTATTCAATCATCCAGCTACCAATCATTCCCTTTCCTGTTTGAATCAGGATGAGTTCCGATGATGATATAACTCATTATCTAATATTCATTCCTCTCCTCAATTATTATTACATTCTTTGGATCAGGCCTAGAAAAGCATTTTTTGTATCATATTAATTGTTGACCTTTTGGTATATTGAACATCAATTAATTCCTTTACTTTGCATTGTCAAAAGGTTAATGTTTTTCTGAATACATTTACCAGCTTTTTCCATTCAATTAATTAACTGAATGAACTATAGGTTTATATATTGTGCGCCTCAATTTGTACAATTTGCAAACATAATATTCACAAATTTAAAATATATTAATTAGTTTCAGTAATTAAATGCACTGTTTTTAGCAAATTAACTTTAAAAAGGCTTAAAAAGGCTAGTTACATATTAATATATAACAAGAGTGAAAAAAAATTAAGTCTATATTAATGGAATACATAAAAAAAAAAGAAAAATTATTTAAATTGCTGTGCATAGGATGAAAATAAAAAAAAATGAAAAAGACATGGCTGCATTTGAATTAGCTTGGTACGCGAAAAAAATAGGTGGAAAGACAACTTATTGATGAGATACTTCAACGAAAACATGAACAAATAACGAAAATTAAATCAATAAAGATAATCAGAGGATAATTTAAAAAAAAAAAGTTAAAAAAAAAAGACACGAATCGAAATTGAACGCACAACATAAAGAGTTGGTAAGAACCAAACTGTCAAAATATTTTAAAGAAAAGAAAAGTATTAACGACATAAAACAAAGAAGAAAGACAAGTTGGCTTTTTTTTGCAAGGACAAAAAAAAAATCAGTCTGAAAAATAAACAAGCGAAAATCGATTATTTTAAAAACATACAATGTACATCTTTTGCAGAAAATATTTTAAAAAAAATATTGTGGTCATAAAATTAATACAGAAAGTCTGGTAAGAAAAATCCAAAGAACTAACTCATTATTATCCAACGATTAGGCCAAAGTTCAATATGTAAATGATTATCTCAAAATATTGTAAAAGTTGAAAAGAAAAAAAAAAGTTAAAATGATAAATCGTATTTGTTTAATGGGAGTAAATTATTGAAACAATACCAGAACAGTAAATATGGACAGTTTGTTAATTTTAGAACAAGCTTATAATGGAGACAACAGTGAAGGAAAACCAAATGATTGATCGATAGACTTTTTCTGCTCAATTAAGTTAAGTTGGCAAATAAATCAAAATAATTTAAAAATTGAAAGGAAACAAAATAGATCGATTTATGTGAAAGTACAGTTAGACTAGAATGAATGAATGAAGAAGGCATAATAATAGGTATATAATATTTGTTAATAAATCCATTTTAACGATATCAAATAAACCATAGTATGAACCATACAACACTTCACCGTATCGTACACAGAACGAATCACTGTTGATCGTAGTTAAAATAAATGACTAATTATTGTCATACCATAGATACCATAAGAAGTTAACGAAAAATTTTTCAAGAATTTTGAAGAAAAAAAAACTGCAATAAGATGAATTACTATTTGCTAGCCTATATCCCGCCGCCAAATGTTACCACATTCCAAACAACACAGTACATAGCATATTTTTCCTACCAATTACAGTATATAGCGTGTTTGCCCTATTAATTACAGTATTAAAAATTACAAAGTTGTATTAATGTAAGTCTTATGGTAACAGTATGACTGATATTACCGTGAAAAACAGTAATATTAAGACAAAAAACCTCCGTGAACAAAGCCAATAATTTCGTATATTTGGAAGAAAAAAACTGAATCGATCTGTTCAAAAAAAAATTTTTTGTGGTTTTTTAGATACAAATTTAGGAATCTTATGAATCCCTACAATAGCTTCATTTACGAAATATGAAATATCCTGAGCAGTTCTAGCTAGCTTATATGCATACCGTATCATATTCTATTACATCATATATTCATGATTTCGAAAAATTCACTGAACCCGAATACAATCATGAATAATAAAAGTTAAACTTTTATTCTAGATAACAATTTTAATATGAGAGCGACTAATCTTACACATGCATGGCAGATTCATGCTTAACAGAAGAAGGTGCAAAATCATTTGAAATATTAATTGCTGTTAGATGAGGTGTAGATTGTTGAGCGGTTGAATTAAGAACTGGTAACGTAGCTATGGACGGATAAACGCTAATCGGTTGTGTTAAAACATTACACCATTGTTCTGGACATTGTAGAAGAAGTTGTAATTGTTGACTTTGAAGTATCATTTGCTGTGAGAATAATGCTCCAGGTGAGTTACCACCTTCCAAAAATTGTTTGTAAGCATAAAACTGTGAATCATATGGATCGAGCAGAGTGTTTTTATATGGATCTGGAACGACTCCATGAAATGCAGATTGCTTGATTTCACTGGTTTCATTCCCATATTTCACTATCTGCTCATCAGCTATATCATTTCGATCTATCTGATCTATTATTCCATCATTTGCATTTAATGTAGTTGTATTACATGCACTGGTTGCAGGTAAGGTTGATAATTTTAGGCCTAATGAAGGACTAATCAAATCACGACCTGACGATACGGATGGTGAAGTGGGATATTGCATTGCTGTTACAGCTATTCCATCTGGTATATCTGAAAATTTATTTGTTTATAACATCTTTTCTTCCATTCATTCTTCTATGCAATTCTATAAATTATATATCATCTTCGATATCACTAATTATTATTCAACGCAACTAATAAATTTCGAGAATAAAAATTTTTTTTTTCATCAATCAACATAAATTTCATACTTTCCTTCACTCATCCATCTTAGCTAGATTTCTAAATGATATCAGTATTACAATATCATAATAGAAGCCAATAACTTACTCAAATATTTAGGCAATAAACCATCGAGCGTTTTAGCATTATCCAATTCTGTATTTGGAGTAATTTGTTGTTGGCAGTTTACATATTTTCGACACTGTTCCAAATGAATTTTTAAGCCCACTTTCTGGGCATAACTTTTTTCACATGCGTTACATTTATAACTGAAAGAAATAACATTCATTCATATTTGTTAATTCAAAATGTATCAAAAATCAAAGTGAATTCCCTCCAAATTTTCAATCATTTCTTCTTAAAAAAATTTCAGCACAAAATTCCAATTTATATATTATTTTGACAGATCAAATGATGAATGAAGAGAATGTTACAATTCAAACAATCGGGTAGAAAACATAATTTTTTTTGATTTTTTTTTCACAAAATGATATATATATATATAATATACTTACGGTTTTTCACCTGTATGAACACGTTCATGAACTTGCATATTACCCTGATTTGTAAATGTTTTATCACAAAAGCTGCACCTATAAAATTGGAAGTAATAAGTGAAATTGAGTAAATTATATAAGTTATATTTACATCCCTTTACAGAATAAGATTATTAATCCTCGATTTCAATCTTGCGTAAAACTTTTGTTTTTTTTAAAAAAAGCTTGGTAAAGCTATCAATTCCTCTCTTCAGAGTTCGCCATCCTGAAGAAAAAGGTTTTTTTTTTTCGAAAAAGCAAGGAAAATGCTCGTGTACTTTTATAGCGATCTGATACTTTGTATAGAGCAGCGCCTGGTACGGCAACCGTAAAACAGTCACAAGCAGACACAGAAATATATCGAGGAAAGAAGAATTTCGAAAATGTTTTTTTTTTTTGTTATAAGAAAGAAATGAAAAGATTGATATCAAGATTACATATTATAAACATTTCGGTTAGAATCTTGGGAATAGAGTAAAACGAAAAAAGTTCCATTCCGTTCTAATTAACATAAAATAAACAAGTTTTCCTAAATGTTAGCTTTTTTTTGTTGACATCCTTTCTTTTCACATCATAAGCTATCGAAGGCTTATATTGAATTTATGGAAGTCATTTAATATGCCATCAAGAGAAAGAAAATTTACGAGCTACCTAATATTTTAAAGAGGTTTTTTAACTTCCTCCGAAACACCTCATATTCATGATTTTTTGTATAATTTTGTATAATTTTTACAATTTGGTATAGCTAGAAATGATGACCATGGAAGGAAATATTTCAATAGAAGAATATGAGATTAATTATTTGCAAAATTTTGAATTTTCAAAAAGCAAAAGTACATTTTTAGCAAAAAGAAAATGGAGAAGAGAAAAAAGCTAACCGAAATGGTCGTTCACCAGTATGTAATCGAGTGTGAACATAAAGTGATGAAGCATAGGCGTATCTTTTTCCGCAATATTTGCAAATATACTCCGTTGGCTTCTTGTTTTGTATTGTTTCGGGTGATATCTGAAATTTTCAATTATTAAAATCTAAAATTGAATAAATTGAATTATTAACAATTATCAACAGTGA